ATTGTTATTCTATTCTCTAATTTAATATAACTATTTATTTAAGACATTTTAATCATTGGGAAGCCTTGTAAAATCACTGTTGTGTTAGGACTCATTTTTGTCTGCTTTTGTTTGAACCTGCAATTGTACTGTTTGCAGATGCTAATGTTCTTTGTTAGAATAGAATGGAATTCAACTTTACTGTCATTAATTACACTGTCACAAATACAAAGCAACAAAATTCACTCTCTGAATTTAACCCATCCCCATGGGGAGCAGTGGGCTTCCATTGTGGGGCGTCCGGGGAAGCAGTGTGGGGGTTAAGGGTCTTGCTCAGGGACCCAGAGTGGGAGTTGGTGAGAGTGGGGCTTGAACTCTCTGGGACCGAGGCGCAATGCCCTAACCACTTGGAAAACATTGAACTTGCCTGTCTAGAAGGAAAGCAGTGACAGTGTGATTTTCTAAGCTCCAACATTGGCGCTAAACCTCAAAATCTTGACTAATAATCATCTCGTTGTGCTTCATTTTCGTTTTGTCTGAATCTGAGAAATGTAAGACCAAGAAGAAGACATCTCTCAGCTACATAATGGAGCTAATAGGACCATCCAGGTCCTGAGCTTCCACCTGTTATTCTTATCGCTGCAGAAAATTTACATTTTGGTCCCATTAACATTTATAAAACAATGATTTCTATTTATGTACATATACATATTTCTGTAGAGGTATTGTAAAAAAAGATTATTAATGTCAAAATAACTATGACATTTAAAATAAAACAAATATATTAGTTGGATCAGTTATGTTGCAAGAACGCTGCTCGGAAGGGAAAGATCTGTCAGAAATATTATTATTATTATCTTGCCGTGTGAACGAGCCTTTAGTTGGATCTTAGTTTACGACATTCCCAGAAGCCAGCGGAGGAAAAAAGGGGGTCGGGTTTGTCTGGAAGGGAGTTCAAAGTAAGCATAGGAGGAATGGAGCTGGTTAATCTGCAGGGGTGTAGGGTTTGAACAGAGAGTTAGTCCAGGGAGTCAGTTCTCCAGAGATGGAGGTGAGAACACTTCAAACAAAGCTGTTTTACGGTAACGGTTAGAATAAA